AACCAGCATGTACAACATTTGCTGCCTTCCTTCCTTAAATAAGGGCAATAAATTGCCACCTGTTTTTCAAAGAATGAATGACCTCACTAATTGAACTCCACACTGCTATTATTTTGAACATGCCCCTTTCACTTAGTGATTCAATTACACAGAATCAGCAGCATGCATGTCATGACTGTTGGGGTCTGTTGGATTTCTATTACGGTACTCTACTACACCTACTAGTAAATTATTTGCCATGTAGAAATATGATTTCTACCAAAAACAGTGATTGATCAGGTTAGTGATGTCTGACTGCTATTATTTTGAACACAACTGTATATTTATGACCACCCACCTAATATTGAGTAAGTTCCCATTTTGAGCCTGACCCATCAAGGCATAGACATCACTAGACCTCTGAAGGTATTCTGCGGTCTCTGACACCAAGGCATCAGCAAAGGATCTTTAAAGTCCTAAAAGTGTGTAAATTTATGAAATCACAATTTCCCACAAGTCTAACTCTATAAATCAATAAATGAACAGCATACCACAAGTGAAAAAAAGTCAAACATGCATATAAAAAAAAGGTACAATGTTAAACACTTATATAAAATATTTTAAGTAGACAATCCTTTGTTACAAAACACAGTGTTCAAATATAAAAAACAACTAAAGTTCCCTCCAAACTCTTGGGTGATCAAGAAAATAAACAAGTTCAAAAAAATGTAAAAGATCTTCAATCTAAATTGACTTCCTGTAATGTTCCCTTCACCACACATTAGGAATTGCACTCACCAAAAGTGTGTGACTATCTTATTACAGCTTAGGCTGACACAACTTATATCTCTTCTTTAAGTCCTGTAAGTTGTGACATGGGGCCTCCCACTGTTTTTGCAGCACATCCCATAGATGCTCGATGAATTGAGATCTGGAGAATTTGGGGACCAAATCAACACCTTAAGTACTTTGTGTTTCTCAAATCATTCTTGAACCATTTTGGTGGCAGGGCACATTATTCTGCTGAAAGAGGCCCCTGCCATCAAGGAATACAGTTTCCATAATGGGGTATACTTGGTCAGCAACAATATTTAGGTAGGTGGTACATGTTAAATTAACATTCGCATGATTAGCAACACCCAAGGTTTCTGAGGAAAACATTGCCCAAAGCATCACATTGCCCCTGCTAGGGTGCCTTTTTCCCATACTGCTGGTGCCATCACTTCCCCAAGTAGTTGACACACTTACGCCTGGCCATCCACATGATGGAAAAGAAAACGTGATTCATCAGACCAGGTAACCTTCTTCCATTGCTCCATGGTCTGATTCTCACGTGCCCATTGTAGGCACTTTTGGCTGTGGACACAGGTCAGCATAGGCACCCTGACTGGTCTGCAGCTACACAGTCCCATACACAACAAACTGTAATGCCCATTTTTTTCTACTTTCAAAGCATTAATTTCAGGGCAAAATGTTTATTTGCTAATATATCCCACTGGTTTTCAGATGCCATTGTATCGAGATAATGGTATTCACTTCAGTGGTCATAAACTTATGACTGATATATATATAATATATATATATATATATATATATATATATATATATATACATACATACATACAGTATCTCGCAGAAGTGAGTACACCCCTCACAGTTTTGGAAATATTTTATTATATCTTTTCATGTGACAACACTGAAGAAATTACACTTTACTACAATGTAAAATAGTGAGTGTACAGCTTGTATAATAGTGTAAATTTGCTGTCCCCTCAAAATAACTCAAAGAAACAGCCATTAATGTCTAAACCACTGGCAACAAAAGTGAGTACACCCCTAAGTGAAAATGTCCAAATTGGGCCCAATTAGCCATTTTCCCTGCCCGGTGTTATGTGACTCATTAGTGTTACAAGGTCTCAGGTGTGAATGGGGAGCAGGTGTGTTAAATCTGGTGTTATCACTCTCACTCTCTCATACTGGTCACTGGAAATTCAACATCGCACCTCATGGCAAAGAACTTTCTAAGGATCTGAAAAAAAGAATTGTTGCTCTACATAAAGATGACCTAGGCTATAAGAAGATTGCCAAGACCCTGAAACTGAGCTGCAGCACGGTGGCCAAGACCATACAGCGGTTTAGCAGGACAGGTTCCACTCAGAACAGGCCTCGCCATGGTCGACCAAAGAAGTTGAGTGCACGTGCTCAACGTCATATCCAGAGGTTGTCTTTGGGAAATAGATGTATGAGTGCTGCCAGCATTGCTGCAGAGGTTGAAGGGGTGGGGGGTCAGTCTGTCAGTGCTCAGACCATACGCAGCACACTGCATCAAATTGGTCTGCACGGCTATCATCCCAGAAGGAAGCCTCTTCTAAAGATGATGCACAAGAAAAAGCCCACAAACAGTTTGGTGAAGACAAGCAGACTAAGGACATGGATTACTGGAACCATGTCCTGTGGTCTGATGAGACCAAGATAAACTTATTTGGTTCAAATGGTGTCAAGAGTGTGTGGCGGCAACCAGGGGAGGAGTACAAAGACAAGTGTGTCTTGCCTACAGTCAAGCATGGTGGTGGGATGTCATGGTCTGGGGCTACATGAGTGCTGCCAGCACTGGGGAGCTACAGTTCATTGAGGGAACCATGAATGCCAACATGTACTGTGACATACTGAAGCAGAGCATGATCCCCTCCCTTCGGAGACTGGGCCACAGGGCAGTATTCTAACATGATAACGATCCCAAACACACCTCCAAGATGACCACTGCCTTGCTAAAGAAGCTGAGGGTAAAGGTGATGGACTTGCCAAGCATGTCTTCAGACCTAAACCCTATTGAACATCTGTGGGGCATCCTCAAACGGAAGGTGGAGGAGCGCAAGGTCTCTAACATCCACCAGCTCCGTGATGTCATCATGGAGGAGTGGAAGAGGACTCCAGTGGCAACCTGTGAAGCTCTGGTGAACTCCATGTCCAAGAGGGTTAAGGCAGTGCTGGAAAATAAAGGTAGCCACACAAAATATTGACACTTTGGGCCCAATTTGGACATTTTCACTTAGGGGTGTACTCACTTTTGTTGCCAGTGGTTTAGACATTAATGGCTGTGTGTTGAGTTATTTTGAGGGGACAGCAAATTTACACTGTTATACAAGCTGCACACTCACTACTTTACATTATAGCAAAGTGTCATTTCTTCAGTGTTGTCACATGAAAAGCTATAATAAAATATTTACAAAAATGTGAGGGGTGTACTCACTTCTGGGACATATTGTGTATATATATATATATATATATATAATATATACACACTATATAGCCAAAAGTATTGGGACACCCCTCCATATCATTGGATTCAGGTATTCCAATCACCTCCATGGCCATAGGTATGTAAAATCAAGCACCTAGGCATGCAGACTGCTTCTACAAACATTTTTGATAGAATGGGTCACTCTCAGGAGCTCAGTCAATTCAAGTTTGGTACCCCGATAGGTTGCCACCTGTGCAATAAGTCCATCCATGAAATTTCCTTGCTAATATTCCATGACCAACTGTTAGTGGTATTATAACAAAGTGGAAGCAACTGGAAACAACAGCAACTCAGCCACAAAGTGGTAGGCTACGTAAAACGACAGAGCGGGGTCAGCCCATGCTGAAGCACACAGTGAACGGAAGTCGCCAACTGTCTGCAGAGTCAATAGCTAAAGACTTCCAAACTTTGTGTGGCCTTCAGATTAGCACAACAACAGTGTGTAGAGAGCTTCATGGAATGGGTTTCCATGGCCGAGCAGCTGCATCCAAGCTTTACATCACCAAGTGCAATGCAAAGCGTCGGATGCAGTGGTGTAAAGCACACTACCACTGGACTCTAGAGTAGTGGAGACGTGTTCTCTGGAGTGACGAAATCACACTTCTCTGTCTGGCAAACTGATGGACGTGTCTGGGTTTGGCAGTTGCCAGGAAAATGGTTCTTGCCTGACTGCATTGTGCCAAGTGTAAAGTTTGGTGGAGGGGGATTATGGTGTGAAGTTGTTTTTCAGGGTTTGGGCTTGGCCCCTTAGTTCCAGTGAAGGTAACTCTTAAAGTGTCAGCATACCAAGACATTTTGGACAATTTCATGATCCCAACTTTGTGGGAACAGTTTGAAGATGGTCCCTTCCTGTTCCAACATGACTGCGCACCAGTGCACAAAGCAGGGGCGGACTGACCATTTGGAAACTCGGGCACTGCCTGAGGGCCCGGGGTCAGTAGGGGGCCCCATGAGATGCCCGTGGTACCTTTTTCATAGGCTTTTTTGAGTTTGGGCAAGGACACAGGGGCCCCATGATCCCCTATTTGCCCGGGGGCCCCATGAGTTGTCAGTCCGCCCCTGGCACAAAGCAAGGTCCATAAAGACATGGATGATCGAGTTTGGGGTGGAGGAACTTAACTGGCCTGCCCTCAACCTGATATAACGCTTTTGGTATGAATGAGTGGAGACCGCGAGCCAGGCCTTCTCGTCCAACATTAGTGCCTGACCTCACAAATGCGCTTCTGGAAGAATGGTCAAACATTCCCATAGACACACTCCTAAACCTTGTGGACAGCCTTCCCAGAAGAATTAAAGCTGTTATATAGCTGCAAAGGGTGGGCCAACTCAATATTGAACCCTACAGACTATGATTAGGATGCCATTAAAGTTCATGTCCGTGTAAAGGCAGGTGTCCTAATACTTTTGGCAATATAATGTATGTATATATATATACTGTATATATATATCACAAAAGCACTGTCATCTGTGATTTGTAATGAAAGCTAAACAGATATAACTGTGTCAGACTGAAGACATTGGTACACTATGAGCATCACTCAGCAGCTGCACCAAGCTTCCTGATCTATGGATTCCTGAACAACTACATTTCCTATCATGCTTTGCTTCTGGAGCATGCCCATTTCCTTCCTTTTTGGTTTCAGATCATATGACAGGAACGTGATTGCTAGAATGCTGAAACAACAGTTCTGTGTGTGCAGTGCATTTCTGGCCAGGCACTATGGCTGCTAGAGGAGCAGACCCCAGCCTCAGGTACCACAACAAGGTGGTCATAGTGACCGGAGGGACAAAAGGCATCGGGAAGCGATTGTCAGGGAGTTTGGTAAGAACTTGTTGCTGGGTTTTCATTAGATGTGCAAACATATCATCTTGTCTTCATGCCAAACATCATGTGTGTAATTTATATCTGAACTTTTCAGCATAAGTCGTAACATTTCCTATCATTGCAGTTCTTTTCTATATCATTTTTATTAAACTGAAGCAGGAAGAAGAAATGCACTGCAGAAACAGGTGTCAAGGGGCAAACTGTACCTGAGTTAAGAGACAACCTTTAATTGTTTAGCAGCATTCCTTCTCGGCGGGGCTTCTCTTTCTGATCTATTCAGTCAATTTTCTGTTAGTGACATTTCTAGAAGATGATGGAGGCAGAGTTATTCGCTTACTGCTTCTATAGTACTTTTTAGATTTTCATCAGTAAACAGTGAAGAATCTTTCTGAACAAAAGCTACAGTCATACAGACATTTGTATCTGACAGCAGCTAAACGCCACTATACTGCACTTGAAAATGCTGAAATATTTACTGCAGATGGTAGCAGTTTGTAACGGCTAGGTTCACATATGTGCGGGTGGTGCCACTGTAGATCCGCACAAAAATCCGTGCAGCCGCACCACCCACACAGAGGAATGCGGACCCGGGGTGGGTGCCATTACTTCTAATGGCACACCGCCCGCACTGGAAATCGCAACCGCACTGGGAACCGAGGTTCCTGTGCAGGCTGCCTTTTCAGAAGAAGTACAGGGACTTCTTCCCTGCGTGTCCCGGGGCATGGGAGTCCATTCAAATGAAACGGGCTCTCGTGCCCGTCGCAAAACGCAGCCCGCAGGAACATGGATATGTGAACCAGGGGTAAATGAGTTTAGTTGTGTTTAGGTGCATCAGTGGTTTCAGGCATTTTTTTCTCAATACCCCATTCTCAGGGGGATGCTATGCCCCAGGCACCTCCTCTTCCACTTAGTTGCCTTGGCCATGTGTTTTGGGTCATTGTCATGGATGGGTGTTTCAGCATGACAATGACCCAAAACACACAGCCAAGGCAATAAAAAGGTGGCTCAAGAAGAAGCACATTAAGGTCCAGGAGTGGCCTAGCCAGTCTCCAGACCTTAATCCAATTGAAAATCTGTGGAGGGAGCTGAAAGTTCGAGTTGCCAAACGTCAGCCACCAAACCTTAATGACTTGGAGAAGATCTGCCAAGAGGAGTGGGCCAAAATCCCTCCTGAGATGTGTGCAAACCTGGTGGCCAACTACAGGAAACGTCTGACCTCTGTGATTGCCAACAAGGGATTTGCCACCAAGTACTTAGTCATGTTTTGTGAAGGAGATCAAATACTTATTTCCCTCATAAACATGCAAATCAGTGCATAATTTGTTCGACATGCATTTCTTTTGACTTTTTTGTTGCTATTTTATCTCTTAGTCTTACAATACACCTACCATTCGATTTTTAGACAGATCATTTCTTTGTGAGTGGGCAAACATTCAAATTCAGCAGGGGATCAAATTCTTATTTCCTTCACTGTATGTAAAAAATATATGTTAAAATTACTTTTTTATATGTTAAAAAAAATCTGAAAAATATATTTAAAAAATATATATTTTTAAAAAAATATATTTTTTTAAATATATTCTTCAGATTTTTTTAACATATAAAAAAAAGTAATTTGAATGTATATTTTTACATATATTTGTAAATGCATTCCAAAAATGTAGATTTGTATTTTTAAAGACACACAGTGTGTTTGAAATGTATTTTTAAAAATATTTTTCATATATTTTGTAATAAAAACGCATTTCAACATACAGTGTGTATGTGTGTGTGTATATATATTGAAATTTATTATATATATATATGAAATTTATTGAATCCAAAGTTGTAGCATTTCAAATATATGTAAATATATTTGGGAAGAATATTTTTTAAAATATATTTCAAATATATTTTTCTTCCATACAGGAATGTATGCAGAATTCAGAACCTATCCTGATAAATGTTAAACCTTTACCAGAATGTCAGTGTCCACCTTTCACAGCTTACTAACTCTGGTTAGACCATGTCTGAAAGAATGAAAAATTCAGCATTTCAGGAAGAAAATGGGAAGTGTGTCACTTGATCTAAACTCTCAGCAGCTATAATTGCAATGCGTGTTTAGCTGCAGATATTCGACTCTGGACGCAGCACTTAACTTCTTTTTTTGCAAAACACAGCGAACCGGTCTGACCTTATTATGTATGAAAACATGATTAGTTTGTGTGAGTTAAGCTGCTTTTAAAAAAGTTTTCTAACTACAGCTAAACTCTGAAATGTAGACATCCGTGTGAATTTAGTGATTAGGAGCGATTAAGGCCTGTGTGAATTGCAGCAACAGGAACCTTTTGTTTACAACTGCGGATGAGAGCGGCTACGTGCAGCCGCCGGCTCCTTTCACTTTAACGACAGGTCACTGGTGGCCGCACGGCCAGCGATTTCGTGTAGCAATCGCGGCTGGACGCACTTTGCGTTATCACTGCAGGCAATCGCTGGCTCAGCGGAGAGCCGCAAGTGACCTGTCATTATAATGAACAAGGCCCATAGCTGCACCTGGCCACTCACATCTGCATCTATAAATTAAAGATTCCTGCTGCTACAGTTTTTTTCCAGCCCTCATTGCCAGTCTGAATGTGTCCTTGGAAATCTGAGATGTCATTAATAAATCTACCGCTACCCCTGTAGGGGCTGCTGGATTTCGGGCCCTTTTTTTTTTCCCTCTCACACAGCACCCACAGCCAGACAACAGGAATTTTCCACTCTCACTTCACAGGCTCAATAAGCAGTCTAGGGGTATTTGTTTTCCTTTAATTTTTTTCTAAAATTTGGATAGGGATTAGGGGTACATGGGATGCTCCAAGCTGAGAACTAGATGCAAACTTTGTACAAGTGGCTGAGGAAAAGCTAAAGTCTCTGACTGCTGTAGGTTGATCCAAAGTGAGCTGCACATCAGTAGCAATGATGAAATGATGACACAGCATATATGTGAACAAAAACTCCAAATGATCAAGTTGTAGACACAGTATTGCACTGCACCTGGCTGTTCTTAACTCAGGCTAGAGATATTATGGGATGCTCCTGACTGTCTTGCACTGCACTTGGCTATCCCTCTAGGCTCCCAGACATGTGTGGTCTTCCACTACATGGTCCTCTCTAAAGCATGGGTATATTGGCTGAAAAGTACCCACCCAGTCCCTTTCAGGAGCTCCTAGAATCCAGAGAGCTGCTGCAAGGTTCTCTCTCCATTTCTGCTGTGGAGACTGATTCTGGCTTAGAGTTCCCAGTTGGGCCTAGCTGGAATAAAGGCTGAGTGAAGTCTGAAGACCTTTCCTCTGTTCCCCTCTCTCTTGCTTCTCTTCCTTCCGTCCCTCCAGGGGTAGAGCCCCCTGGCTCATGGGGTCCTTCCAGGGGCAGAGCCCCCCAGCTCAGGGGGTTCTTCCAGGCACATGCTCTGCACACCAGACTGCCAGGCTTCTGGCTATTTATGGACTGTGACACCCCTCTGGGTTCTGCTTCCCCAGGGATTGGTGGAAACTCCATGAATATTCAAGATGCAACCTCTGTTTCTCCACCTACTAGATTCTAGAACTTTCCAGCAAGTTCTATAAGGCTCCATGTACACGGGACACTTCTGAACGATGGACACTGACTGCTGGAAAACGTAGGTTAAAAAACGTCTGTTTATGCGCGTTTATGAGCGTTTGCATTTAGAAGCGTTTTTTAAAGATGACCTCAGGAGACCTTCCAAAATACCCAGAATGCACTGAAAAACAGTAAAAAATTTACAATTTCAGACATTTTGAGAGAAATAGAGAGAGTAGAAGCAGAGAGAGCAGTATTTGTTGAGATTAGCTGTCTTTTTTTTTGTGGTGTTTGGATGTGTTCCAGCTCATTTCTGTGAGCAATTATTGCAGCAATGTCTAACATATTTTCTTTCATGCGAAACCTCAAAGTATGGTGTATCAGGTCCATTTGAGTACCGGGAAAACACTTTGCATGCATTTTTCATGATGAAAAAAAGGCTCTGGACAGCATCTGGAAATGGAAGAGTTAAAAAAAATTTTTCCTAACGCAAACACTTATAAATGCGGTTAGCTGCATTTACACGTGTTTACAAGCGTTTGGCGTTTGAAACGCTGATAAAATCTACTCCTGACTGCAAGTTTGGTGCTTTCAAAAAAACGACTGTAAACTCAACTGCCTGTAAACGACATAGTGTACATGGACACATAGGAAAACATTAGGGAGAGTTCAGGGGCTGCTGAAAAAATCGCAGAGAAGCTCCTAAACGTGAATTTATCAGCTGCAGCGTACATGGAGCACAGGGAGAGGAAACCAAGCCATAGTCTGTGAAGCTTTGCACAGCCCTCCTAAACAATATTTCTTAACCCACAATGGTATGCTTCCTGAAATCGTAGAACTTAAAAGAGAAAAGCTTCCATTTAAAGTGGAACTCCAGGAATTGCAGCACTTTTAAAAATTTGGTTGTTTATAGGGGTTAATTATAAATGGAGGGTATGCCACTTTCTGGACCTATCCCTTTTACTTACTATTTACATTTTTTCTGAGCACTGGGAGTGCAGCTATAACTATACTCCGGGCACTCAGACAGAAGAGATGTGCTGTGCTACACAGCCACCATACCCCTACCCGCTGCTCTGCTGTCCATTCACAGAATACTTTGTCTTTTGTGAATTGGTTCACTTGATACAAAGCCTTCCATGATTGGGCAAGAGGAGAGAGGGGGGTGGGCAGAATGATCCAAAGGTCGAAACGTTGGTTCACTTGATACTAAGCCTTCCATGATTGGGCAAGAGGAGAGAGGGGGTGGGCAGAATGATCCAAAGGTCGAAACGTTGGTTCACTTGATACTAAGCCTTCCATGATTGGGCAAGAGGAGAGAAGGGGTGGGCAGAATGATCCAAAGGTCGAAAGTAGAAGTAAAGTGATAGTCGTAGTCCCAACACTCAGTAAAAATGTAAATAGTAAATAAAAGAGATACATCTATGAGGAGGCACACATCACATTGAACTTCACAATTTATAAACCAAAACATTTTTATTGCTGCAATTCCTGCAGTTCTTTTTCACAATGCACAATAGACAGCATCTGTAGACCGTAACATCAGCATTTCCACATTGCATGAGTGTATGAGCATTGAATTAACAGTGTCTGTGGGGTGCAAAATTCCAAGTGCTGTGTTCATGAATTCAGTGCCTTTATTGTGTTCTACTAGTATTATTCTCACTATTTTATATTAATAAAAGGATCCTGTTCTAGTGGCGGCCAGTTTTATAAAATATCAACTCAGAATTCAAAGTACACTGCTTTGGTTAATGTTTGACAGTTTTAGGTTTTTGTGGAAATTATTGCTTTTTTGCTTTTCTCTGAAATGTGTTTTGTGGCACCATCAGGTATACTTAACAGATATTATAGAAAAAGTAATACACGTACTGTTAATTAAAACTAACACAAAGTTCTAGGCACCATTGTGTCTTCCTGATTTTTTTTAACTGTACAAACCCTTAATGGGATATACCTGTAGAAAAAATAAAATACACTCCAACAAAATTATCACCTGTGCACGTAAAGTACCAATAAAACTCTGTTTAAAAAAAATCTATTCAAGTATGTATTCTTAAAGTGGAAGTAAACCCACTTTGGTAACTTTTACCTATAGGTAAGCCTTTAACCGCTTCCAAGTCCGGACACTTTTACCTCCTTCCTGCCCAGGCAAATTTTCAGCTTTCAGTGTTATCACACTTTGAATGACAATTGCGCGCGTCATGCAACACTGTACCCATATGAATTTTTTAGCATTTTTTTTAGACAGATAAAACTTTATTTTGGTGGTATTTATTCCCCACTGGGATTTTTATTTTTTTTTTTGCTATATAAATGAAAAAGTCCAAAAAGTTTGAAAAAAAGTGTTTTTCTTATTTTGCAAATAAATAATCTTTCTTCATAAATATTGTCCAAAATGTAATCAGTTATCTTTTTAATGAACAAAAAAAAAAATAACCCAAATTAGTTTATAACCAAAAATTATAATTTTTCAAAAAAGTTTTTTACATTTTTATTTTTTTATATTATTATTTATGTTTTTTTAACATATTGTCACCCTAGCAGTACAGTGCCACCATGGTGACACTGTACTACTTGTGGAGGGTGATGAAGTTTTTTTTTTTGTTTTACACTGGTTACTTTCACACCCATAAAGGCTGTAAAAGCAATCATTTCTCCTCTCTGCCTGCATTCTTGCAGCCATTGAGAAATACTGTGTGAGCTGTGATTGGTCACAGCATGTCACATGGTACAAGGCTGTTGTGAATAGCCTTGTACCATGTGACCTCTCTGATCATTTACAGATTTCACTAGTAATAAGCTATGATGTCAGCAAGTGACATCGTGTTTACTACTATTCATGTGATCACTGATTGGCCAATCAGTGATCACATGATCGGGACCTCACACAGAGGTCCCAGGGAGCGCGCACAGGCTGTACATGTGGGCGCCGTTTATGAACGGCAACCCGCTCCTGCACTGCTCCGTCTGGCCATTTATGTACATGGGCCAGACGGGAAGTGGTTAATAAGGCTTACCTGTAGGTAGTGTAAATATCTCCTAAACATGCACCGTTTAGGAGATATATACTGTAGGAGTGCTGATAACACCACCGGCGCATGCACATTGTGCTCTCAATAGACTGCATGCCGTCCACTGAGCAAGCCAAGCCGCAGCTTTGTGCATGTGCGGAAGTGACGACATTGTGGCTCAGCCAATCAGATGGTCGCAGCTCACGAACCCTGAAGGAAGAACGGGTGAAGATGGAAGCCCCGGGGAGTTGTGACAGCTCTCCGCTGGAGGACTTCATTTTCAGGTAAGTCTTTCATAATGTGCTAGTATGTGATACATACTAGTACATTATGCTTTTAACTTGCAGAGAGATTTTTTAGAATTTGTTTGGATGGTTTACTACCACTTTAAACTGTCACTAAACCCTGGACCCTGCATTCACTATATCTGGTCTCCCACAGTACACACTACATGGAAACGTAATTATTTTAGTAAATATAAACTGCTAAACACATTTTCTCATCAGCAGTACATAGTAGTCTTGTGACTTCTATCAGTGTCCGGCTAAGCATTGGTTAATCTTGTAGGAGGAGTTTTCATTCTCCTCTGACTGCCCTATGAGGCTGTATGACCTCTGACCCTCTGTTTGGACAGTGCTGATTGGCCTCCCAAATAGAAAAACTATCTGGCATTACACATCAAACTGAGCATGTGCAGAGTATTTTTTTTTTTTTAAATTGCATTTGAAAAAACGCTGGGCAAATACGTATGACATAAATTGTAACAATCACTATTTTATTCTCTAAGGTCTCTGCTAAAAAAAAAAAAATATATATATATTATGTTTTGGAAGCTCTACGTAATTTTCTAGCAAAAAATACTGACTTTTACTTGTAAATAGAAAGTGGCAGGAAATGCTAGGCAATGTTTTCTATGGCTAACAGATCTCACCAAACGCACATACTGTATCAGCACATAAAATATAAAACCTGCTAAATTAAAGAATGGGAGTAGCGGCAGTATGCCATTGTGTGTTGTGCAGTAATAAATATCTAAATTAGAACAGTCACCCAAATGTAGACACTGAACATTCCTTAAAGGAAATGTGCGGGATATAGAAATAACAAACATACCTACTCATCTACGTGGCTGCAGGGTCTCTCTGATGCTGCAGGTGTCCCCTGCCAATTCTAAGACCAAAAACTAATGGAACAAAGAGTTCTGATCGTTCAGTTCTCGGTCTTCGGTGAGCAGAGAGCCAGTGACTGTCAGTCACCGTCTCTCTGCTCTGCCCCTCCAGCACTCGCTGGTGCATCGGGCTGTGGAGGAGGCAGGAGCAGCTGGCTCAGGCTCTCAATGGTGCACTGAGAGGCTGAACCAGCTGCCTGTCAGATGTCTGGGTGGATTCTGACATTATTGTCAGGATCCCTGCAGAGCCTGGGCTGGCTCTGTGACACCAGCCGACAGAGGACTATAGCCTGCTGTTGGCTGAATCTGGGTCACAGGAGTTTAGAAATAAGTGCAAGGGGCAATAAAATCACTATTTACCTTTTATTTCATATGGAGACCAGAATCTTGACAGCCTGCCTTCATATGTAAACACACAAGGGATGTTTAAATGACTATGAGTGATCAAAAAATGACTAAAATCCCACTACAAAGTCTTTGTTGTATTTGGGGATGAATTACTTTACAGTTCAAGCAGCTAGGTAGGTGAGAGATGGCTTATTTCAAGCTCCTTAATAATGTGTACCAGCTTTAAACTGATATTAAACCCTTAGTTATTAAGCACTTTCATCAGCTGATTTAATTACAGTTTCTTTATCTTTTAATCCTTGCCTATGTTCCAGTTTCGGCTGCAGTCCCAGGTTTCCTGTATCAGAGTGGCTCATTTCTCTTGCAGCATTCTATGAAACCACCCTTGTATGGAATGTGGCTCTCAAACCTCTCCTTTTACCCCTCACATCTGTTTGATTGGGATGAGCAGTGTACATTAGTTACAGTCATGTGCACTTCTCTTTATACACTACAAATCCTGTGGCCCATAGTCCATCACAGGAGCAAGCAGTAGAGGATGGCTATGTTTCTACATACAGTGGGACCATAATGAATGAACACCCCCTTTAACAGAAAGTCAGATCACAGGAGCAAAAAAAAGGTGGCTGGGAGCAATATAAGGTACTTTTTGAGTTACAAAGACATGCTTGAATACATTTTCTTTAAAACCAGAGTTTAGTGTCACTTTAACAACTGTGGCCTGATCTGGCTGATATCATGACAGATATTAGTAAAAAGTATCCTTTATGTTTTTGTAACCTACTGTTTATATCTCTTTCTGGTTTCTCCGGGATGGTACCACAGTGAAGAATGGCGCTTCGGTGGTGTTCTGTTCAAAAGGTATGATTGTATCTACCATACAAGATCTCCTTCCTACAGTCAGCAAAATGTGGCAGCCATGGTTAACCCATTTCCTTCTGCTGACATTGATTCCTCCTCGCTAGAACCTGCAGCCATGTACAGTATATCGTCCTACCTGTCTCCTTCAAACGCCAACTGGAACCCCCAGAAACTTTCTCCATGATCCCTACACTTCACTCTCTCCCCTCCTTTGCCTACCCATTACTGATATATCTCTCTGTACAAATCTCCCTAATGTCAAAAAAAAATGCAGAGCACAGCAATATAAACGCAAATGGTACTCTTATAATACAAACATGCATAAATGAATAGTGAAACAGAAATAGTGTATATGACAATAAATATGTGCTACATCCAATGTATTCTTAATGCATACACATAAATCACCGTAGACTTGCACATATGAGTGCTGAAATGAATGTAGATATAAAAAAACAAATAAATTATATTTAATAGTGAACTGTCCCTTTAAGTCTCAGAAATCTTCACGTGTGTTTGTGCGGTATGTCTCCTATATCTCATGCTCCAAAAAACCAGCAACAAAAATCTCCAAACAATGGTGACCTGTCCCTTTAAATCCGAAGTACTCCAAGTGGATCAGTGTAATCACACTACTGCATACACGTGTACGGTGCTCCTGTGTCACCCCTTAGTGTACATCCACCTCCAACACACTATTGCGCTCACCTCCAGGTTTGACCCGTAATGCCAGGTCAAACTACGCTTTTCCCTTTAACCTGGGAGGGTACACTGGTACATAGATCTTCACCACCGTCAGCACTTTAAATTTTCTAGAACGCTCCACAACCATAGGAAAAAATACTCCATATAGTATAATATTGCCAGGCAAAAAACAAACTTTATTAAAAGGCTCAAAATTATCTCACATTTAAAAGTGTCCACCTGGGACACTACAGGGTAAAACTCACTATACAGTGTGTACAGGAATCCCTTTTACAAAAATGGCGGCACGTGTACTTTTGGTTTGCGGCTTGACATCATCGGCATACCCTACGCGTTACGTCACGTAACTTCATCAGGACATATTGACATCCCCTAATGCCCTCCCTCTCCGTCCTTGATCTTATGCACTTTTGTTATACTGTTTGAGCACTAATATAGTGTATTACGACTCAGTGTCAACTTTTCAGGGTTGTATTGTACTCTTATTATTTTGTAATCTTCATTGACCCAACACTTCACAAACCAAAACTGTGTTCTAGATTTGCTTATATCTGTAAGAATTTCTATTGTGTCAATTTTAATAAAAATGATTGAACAAGAAAAGGTATGGTTGTTACCACATTCATATACTGCCTTAAAGTGGTTCTAAAGCCTGAAGACTTTTTACCTTGCAATCTCTGCATTAAATCGGTAGTAAATATCACTTGATCCCTAGAGCCTACAGGTAAGCTTATAATAAAGCTTTCCTTTAGGTAGAAGGAATAACGCCTAAACATGCTTTGCTTAAGAGTTAGGAGATATTTCCATTTGTAGCAGCTGGTGACGTCATTTGGGCATGCACACTGGACAGGTGCCGTCTATTCATAATGCTCTGCTGCGATTGTCACTCCCGCTGCATGTATGGGAGTGACATCATCGTATTTCAGACATTCAAACGGCTGGAACTTGTGAGTCCTGAAAAGAAGACCAGATGACATTGAAAGCCCGACAGCGGTGACAGTGGAGAGCTTTGGTTTAGGTAAGCTTTTCATAATGTGCTAGTATGCAATGCATACTAGCACATTATGACATTAACTTTAGGGGAAAATTTTATTTTTTTTATTTAAGACTTTATTACTGCTTTAAGGTTAAAAAACTTCAGTGTGTTGCTCCTCCCCAGACCCCCTAATACTTACCTGAGCCTGAGCTCGATCCAGCAATGTACACGAGAGTAGTGGCTCTCTTTTGCCTTATTGGACAGAGAGGCAGCAGCAGGAGCCATTGGCAATCACAGTCAATGAGGAGGGATCGGGGGGTGAAGCGGAGCCACATTCTGTGTGTCAATGGACAGACAGAGCTGGCTCAGGAGTGAGCATGCAAGTGCCCCCATAGCAAGCGGTTTGTTATGAGGGCACTCGGCAGCTTTACAATCACTAATAAACTGGCAAGCAGAATGTTTCAATAACAGGGATTTTAATGGTCCTAGTGTATGATAAGATAATTCCCATATGAAAGAAATTTTTTTAAAACATTCTTCCCAAATTCATTGCCATATATTTGAAATGCTACAATATTGGCCATATTCACTATATTTCAATAAATTAAAAAATAAATAAATATATATAAAAAATACAGTCAGGTCCATAAATATTGGGACATTGACACAATTCTAACATTTTTGGCTCTATACACCACCACAATGGATTTGAAATGAAACGAACAAGATGTGCTTTAAACTGCAGACTGTCAGCTTTAATTTGAGGGTATTTTACATCCAAATCAGGTGAACGGCGTAGGAATTACAACAGTTTGCATATGTGCCTCCCACTTGTAAGGGACCAAAAGTAATGGGACAGAATAATCATAAATCAAACTTTCAATTTTTAATACTTGGTTGCAAATCCTTTGCAGTCAATTACAGCCTGAAGTCTGGAACGCATAGACATCACCAGACGCTGGGTTTCATCCCTGGTGATGCTCTGCCAGGCCTCTACTGCAACTGTCTTCAGTTCCTGCTTGTTCTTGGGGCATTTTCCCTTCAGTTTTGTCTTCAGCAAGTGAAATGCATGCTCAATCGGATTCAGGTCAATTGACTTGGCCATTGCATAACATTCCACTTCTTTCCCTTAAAAAAACTCTTTGGTTGCTTTTGCAGTATGCTTTGGGTCATTGTCCATCTGCACTGTGAAGCGGCGTCCAATGAGTTGTGAAGCATTTGGCTGAATATGAGCAGATAATATTGCCCGAAACACTTCAGAATTCATCCTGCTGCTTTTGTCAGCAGTCACATCATCAATAAATACAAGAGAACCAGTTCCATTGGCAGCCATACATGCCCACGCCATGACACTACCACCACCATGCTTCACTGATGAGGTGGTATGCTTGGGATCATGAGCAGTTCCTTTCCTTCTCCATACTCTTCTCTTCCCATCACTCTGGTACAAGTTGATCTCGGTCTCATCTGTCCATAGGATGTTGTTCCAGAACTGTGAAGGCTTTTTTAGATGTCGATTGGCAAACTCTCACCAGTGGTTTACATCTTGTGGTGAACCCTCTGTATTCACTCTGGTGAAGTCTTCTCTTGATTGTTGACTTTGACACACATACACCTACCTCCTGGAGAGTGTTCTTGATCTGGCCAACTGTTGGAAGGGTGTTTTTCTTCACCAGGGAAAGAATTCTTCGGTCATCCACCACAGTTGTTTTCTGTGGTCTTCCGGGTCTTTTGGTGTTGCTGAGCTCACCAGTGCTTTCCTTCTTTTTAAGAATGCTCCAAACAGTTGTTTTGGCCACGCCTAATGTTTTTGCTATCTCTCTGATGGGTTTGTTTTGTTTTTTTCACCTAATGATGGCTTGCTTCACTGATAGTGACAGCTCTTTGGATCTCATCTTGAGAGTTGACAGCAACAGATTCCAAATGCAAATAGCACACTTGAAATGAACTCTGGACCTTTTTATCTGCTCATTGTAATTGGGATAATGAGGGAATAACACATCTGGCCATGGAACAGCTGAGCAGCCAATTGTCCCATTACTTTTGGTCCCTTAACAAGTGGGAGGCACATATGCAAACTGTTGTAATTCCTACACCGTTCACCTGATTTGGATGTAAATACCCTCAAATTAAAGCTGACAGTCTGCAGTTAAAGCACATCTTGTTCATTTCATTTCAAATCCATTGTGGTGGTGTATAGAGCCAAAAATGTTAGAATTGTGTCAATGTCCTATTTATGGACCTGACTGTATATATATATATATATATAAGCGCATTTGTGAGGTCAGGGTACTGATGTTGGACGAGAAGGCCTAGCTCACAATTCTCCTCTCTAATTTGTTCCAAAGGTGTTCTATTGGGTTGAGGTCAGTCAAGTTCCTCCAACCCAAACTTGCTCATCCATGTCTTTATGGACCTTGCTTTGTGCACTGGTGCGCAGTCATGTTGGAACAGGAAGGCGCCATCCCCAAACTGTTCCCACAAAGTTGGCAGCATGAAATTGTCCAAAATGTTTTGGTATGCTGATGCTTTAAGAGTTCTCTTCACTGGAACTAAGGTTCCAAGTCCAACCCCTGAAAAAAAACCCACATCATAACCCCCCAGGCATTACACTTGGCACAATGCAGTCAGGCAAGTACAGTTCTCCTGGCAACTGCAAAACCCAAATACATCCATCGGATTGCAAGAAGGAGAAGTGTGATTCGTCACTCCAGAGAACATGTCTCTACTGCTCTAGAGTCTAGTGGTGGTGTACTTTACATCAGGGCTTCAAATTTCAAGTATAGACCTACTAGCCAGGCAAAAACCTTACTCTCCACCAGTGCCCCACCAAACCTTGCTCAGGTCCTCCTCCAACCCCACCCCAATCCCGCCCCAGCCACACCCCCAAACACGCCCCCTTAAAGCTTATGAAATCACATTTTTCTTTAGAATAAAGAGTCCAAAATATAAAAAACAGCAATTATAACATAGCTTTATTATGTCAATTTAAACATAACAGCAATAGCTTAATAGAGTCTAGAGGGCAAGTGGTTAACATAAAACAATGTAAACATAAAATGAAAATAAGTGTCCCCATCAGAGTCCTCCTTTACATCAGGTGTCCCCCTTTACATCAGGTGTCCCCATCAGAGTCCCCTTTACATCAGGTGTCCCCATCAGAGTCCCCCTTTATATAAGGTGTTCCCATCAGAGTCCCCCTTTACATCAGGTGCCCCCTTTACATCAGATGTCCCCATCAGAGTCCCCTTTACATCAGGTGTCCCCATCAGAGTCCCCCTTTATATAAGGTGTTCCCATCAGAGTCCCCCTTTACATCAGGTGTGCCCATCAGAGCACCCCCTTTACATCAGGTGTCCCCATAAGTGTAACCTCACCCTTCCACCTTGTATTCACAGATCTTCTTGTGAATGCAGCTTCTCCTTCTTTCTCTCCTTTGGTCATGTGATAAGTCACATGACAAGGGGAGAGAGAGAAGGACACTCTGCCTTCACTCCTTAGTGCTGGCTGTCTATTTCTTCCCTGCAGGCAGAAGGAGGAGAAAGCCTAGTCCTCCCTCCAGCAAGTGTCAGCAGCTGCTCCGTGACAGGAGTGAAACTGCAATCACTCCGGTCACTGAGGAGGGCACCAGCAATGCGCCCCCCACTCAACACAGTGCTCGGGGCAGGTTGGTGCTGCTGGTAGCACCCGCCCCCCACCCTTCGATGTGGTGCCTGGGACACACTCGCCCTCATGTTATTTTCACTTGCCAAATGCGAGCAGGCGAGTGGAAATTTCAACACCACTGCATCCGAAGCTTTGTATTGCACTTGGAGTGTAAGGCTGGAATGCAGCTGCTTGGCCATGGAAACCCATTCCATGAAGCTCTCTACGCACTGTTGTTGTGCTAATCGGAAGGCCACACAAAGTTTGGAGGTCTTTAGCTATTGAATCTGTAGACAGTTGGCGACTTCTGCGCACTGTGCGCTTCAGCATGCGCTAACCCCTCTCTGTCATTTTACGTGACCTACCACTTTGTGGCTGAGTTGCTGTTGTTCCCAGTTGCTTCCACTTTGTTATCATGCACTAACAGTTGACTGTAGAATATTTAGTAGCAAGGAAATTTCACATATACGGATTTATTGCACAGGTGGCAATTTATCACGGTACCACGTTTGAATCCACTGAGCTCCTGAAAGCAACCCATTCTTTCACAAATGTTTGTAGAAGCAGTCTGCATGCCTAGGTGCTTGATTTTATACACCTGTGGCCATGGAGGTGACTAGAACACCTGAATCCAATGATTTGGAGGACTGGCCCAATACTTTTGGCAATATAGTGTATATCACAGTTTACAGAATATAGTTTGCCAGGTGTATTTTATTTATAGCAAGCTTATGAAGTGCAGTGTTCAGAAGTAAGCACTGTGTAGAGTGGTAAATGCAGAGTCCCCATTTGTGGACAGTAGTGGAAATGTTCCCATACACTTTTGGTAAGTGATAAAGTACCCCCTTATGTTGGTTATCAATAGGACCTAAATAAATCATTGGTGTCAGTGGTTACTTACCTTAGAGAGGATAGACTCTGCTGTGCCCACCCTGCCTGGTCTGTTTCTGCTAAATGATTTTGGAGACATCAGATGTGGGTTGCTAGGCTCAGGACTTCAAGCAGAAGTCTTTGGGCACATGTCCCAGATGCCAGGGTCTATTAATACCCATGCCTCCCAGAAAGATAACCTAGAAGACATCTGAGGAAGTTGTTACTGTATTATCCTGGGAAAAAAGAGATTGATATCTTCTCATGTTCACATATAAATATTAGAGAGTTTGTAGTTCTCCCTTGGATGTGAAAGTGTTGAGCTTTTTTCTGCCCTATCTCCCTATTTAGGCTGCATTCACATCTGAGCGTTGTGTGTTTTTTGCTTGTTTTGTCACATTTTTATGCATGCTTTTGTGTGTTTTGCTGTAGCATTTGAGCTTCAGGTGTTTATGTATTGGTTATAGAGTACAGTATCATCTGGGACATCACTTGTTGTTATGTGGCCATATCAGCTTAAAAACTCGCAAAACTTGTGACTAATGTGCATGCGCATTTTTGTGTGCACCAATGCAATTCTATGAGACTCAATGCTCCCCACAACACACCAATCTGCTCGATTTCAGCTCCAAAAGTAGCTCCAAAATGTTCACGCTATAAAACTCTCAAGTGTAAATGGTATCTCAGGTGTGTAAGCCTATCACTCAAAGGTGGTTTTGGATGCAGGTAGGACAGGGCTAAGTGTGACTGTTATCTCTGTCTCTAATGGCAGTTTAGTATGGGTTTTTACTGAGGCCCCGTTCACACATGGAAGTTTTGAATCACAGCACGATTTATCACACGACAATCGCGGCAGAACCGCACCGTTTTTTTTTATTGTGTTGTGCGATTTGTCATGCTTAACGGCAAGAACGTCCATGTTACGCCTAAAGGTAACCTCTGATTATATTTTGCTCATATGCATAGTTTGAATTGCTCAAGTTTGTTACAGGTGTTTCATTTTAATTATCTTTGTTATAATTGGCAGAAGAAACAGCAAGTGACCTGGAGAATGAGCTTTCGAAATGTGGACCAGGATCCGCTATCTATGTGTCTTGTGATGTAACAAGAGAGGATGATATCAAGGTACCCACTCTCTATTTCTCTTTTATCAAGTAGAGTTTTGTCTTTTACAGAAAAATGTTCTACTGTATCCTTGAAATGGCTTGTAAATTCTTCTCGTGTCTCAGCAATTGTAGGGAAATAACAATTTCCATTATCCAGTTTGTACAGCTGCTGTAACAGTCATAATGCATAAAGCTTGGCACTGGTAGTTTTCATCACAATGCTCCAGGTGCGGAGAACCAGTGTCAATAATGTACCTAGGCAATAGTTTAGAAAATAAAAACGTCAAAACTATACTAGAGCACCTAACATGATTCATAATGGATTTGATTCATAATGCTGGATTTCTGCTATCATTCAACGAATTTTCAAACATATGTGTGTAATATTTGCTGATAGTGAATCTTTTAGATTGTAATTGTAGCAGGTGAATCTCATTTGTAAATTTGAATTACATCATTGTATGCATGGGCAAATCCTCTTTGAAAATGATTTTGACTATGGTGGGTCAATAGATGGATAAGGTGATATAAATGAATAAGGTGAATCCTATAAAAATGATAAATGAATAAGGTGAATCCTATGAAAATGATAGGAGAATATGAATGCTAATGCTATGAAAATTATATGTGAATATATATGAAAATGATAAATTGATTAAGGTGAATCCTTTGAAAATCTTAGTGAATAGGGAGAATCCTATGAAAATGTAAGAGGGTGAATCCGATGAAAATTATAGCATTTTAAAAAATAGAGTAATCCTAGATTGTATGAATATACAGTAGTTATCTACATATGTAATCAATGTATGCGATGGTGAAAAAAACAAATCCTCAACTTTCCTGCTGAAAATGATTTGTGACTATAAATAAATAGTGTGGCGCTCTAAAAATAGATGATATAATATGGATATATATGGAATATAACCGGTGGGGATATAAATGACCAATAAAAGTGATCCTTAATAATTACAGTAATCCTATAAATAAATACCTAAGTGAATAATAAACCTAAGGTGAATTATGTGAAAATGATAGGGGAATTATGATGAATGCTGCTAAAGAAAAAAAGTTAAAAACATGTTTCAATGAATTAAAACACTCAGAATCCTGATGAAAATGTGATAAAATTGATTTGTGCCAAACTCCTCTCCTACAGGTGGCTAAATTGCCTTAGGTGAAACTAAGGGCCAGCAGGCTTGCAGGATCACCCTGGATCCTTATTCCACAAAAGACCAGCAGCTTTTCTCCTCCTTTTTTTTGTGAGACTCCTGTCTCCTCCACCAGGATGTTTCTATGAAAATGACTCACCAGTGAATGAGGGTGAAATGAAAATTATAGCCCTACTTTAAAATAGAGACGGCCAAGTGTCCGACCTCCTAGATTGTATGTATTACAGTAGTTGGTCATATTTATTTGGTATGTTATATATATATATATATTTATATATCTATTTTTACACACTGGGGAACATATTTATTTATTTGATCTGCATATTTTTTGACGTTTTTGCCCACTTACAAAGAAATGAAGGGTCTATAATTTTTTTCATAGGTGTATTTTAAACGATAGAGACAGAATATCAACTAAAAATCCAAAGAAAAACACTGATACAAATGTTAGAAATTGAGTTGTAAGTCAGTGATCCCCAAGCAAAACATGACTTAGCACTTGGTGGAGAAACCCTTGTTGGCAAGCACAGAGGTAAGATGTTTCTAGTTGGTTACCAGGTTTACACACATGTCAGGAGGAATTTTGGATTGCTCTTCTTTGCAGATCTTCTCTAAATCTTTAAGGTTTCTTGGCAACTCGAAGTTTCAGCTTCCTCCATAAATTTTCTATAGGATTAAGGTCTGGAGACTGGCTAGGCCACTGCATGACTTTAATGTGCTTCTTTTTGAGCCATTGCTTTGTTGCCTTGGCAGTATGTTTTGGGTCATTATCATGCTGGAAGACACATCCACGACCCATCTTCAGTGTTCTGGTTGAGGAAAGAAGGTTCTCATCCAAGATTTTACAATACATGGACCAGTCCATTGGCCCCTCAATGTGGCAGAGCAGGCATGTACTTTTAGCAGAGAAACAGCCCCAAAGCATAATGTTTCCACTTCCGTGCTTGACTGTAGGGAAGGTGTTCTTAGGGTCATAGTCAGCATTTTACTTCCTCCAAACATGGCGAGTCGAGTTAATGCCAAAGAGCTCAATTTTGGCCTCATCTGACCACTGCTCTACCAATCCTTCTCTGAATCATTTAGATGTTCATGTTTGGTGACTGTGGTTCCAACTGCCTTGAGATCATTCACAAGATCCTCCCTTGTAGTTCTGGGCTGATTCCTCATTTTTCTCATCTTTACCCCATGAGACAAAATCTTGCATGGAGCTCTAGACAGAGGGCGATTGATGGTTATTTTATATTTATTCTATTTGCATATAATCACTCCAACAATTGTCCCCTTCTCACCACGTTTCTTGCTGATGGTCTTGTAGCCCATTCCAGCCTTGTGCAGGTCTACAATCTTTTCCCTGATGTCCTTTGACAGCTCTTTGGTCTTGCCCATGGTGGTGCCCAAGAAAGAGATTCTGTGGACTCCTGGTCTTTTATACAAATAATGAGTTGTCATTAGGATCATCTTCTTAATTTGACAGGACTAATCTGTGTACCAAATGAGCACATAGCCAGTCTGTGGGAGCCAGAATTATTGTTGCTTGGTAGGGGTTCAAATACTTATTGCACTCAATGAACTGCAACTCAATGTATAAAATTTGTATCATGTGTTTTTTTTTTTTCTGGATTTTTGGTTTATATTCTGTCTCTATCATTTAAAATACAGATATGACACATATTATAAACCCTTAAATTCTTTGTAAGTGGGCAAACTTACAAAATCTGCAGGGGATCAAATAATTATTTTTCCTAGTGTTTGTGTGTGTGTATGTATATATATATATATATATATATATATATATACACCGGTGTGTGTGTATATATATATATATATATATATATATATATATATATATATATATATATATATATATATATATAACATTTTTATAGAGTAGACCATAGTCGATGTAAACTTTACTCTTGTTCTTGTGGCAACTGTTAAATATCAAATTTCCCACCACTTTCTGTGATAATGGTGCAAACACAGACAACAATAAAATCCTGAAAGGGTCCTAATTCTACTCCACCTACACAGCCCAACTCCAAAAAAACATTTTATTTTTGTTGAGTGGGATGCACAGCAATACAAAATATTTTTGTTTTTATAAATAGGGAAAGAGTTTAAACTCTGTCAGGTATATATTGCTGTCTGTGCCCCCACCTAGGAAATTTTCACTCACTTCCTGTCCATGTGTGGGTGTCAGATAGAATAGGAAGTGAATAGGAAATAGCTTTAATGGGGACATGGATAGCAATGATAAAATTTATTGAAGCCCATATCCCCATTGGGAAAGACTTTGTCTTGTTTTCTTTTCGACACCCATCAAATAGAAAGGGGGGAAGAAGAAACTTCAAGCATCTTCAGCTCTATCTCTCTCTGTGCTGTCTCTGGCACAAATAAAGTATAGAAAGTAAACAAAGGGGTATGCACCCATTTTCTTTTTAATTAGAAACAGGATCTGCTCTGTTTTCTAAGTTTAGAAGAGTGGCACAGGCTTTATGTCTGCACCACTCCTTATTACGGTACTTTCCCCCATTGAGACATTTCTATGTGTAAGAGAAAGCAAAGCTGGAATTGGTATATTTTGGAATACACTCCTGGATCTCAGTTCCCAAAACTGAAGCTCTGATCAAGTAGGCTGTGCTACCTATATGCATCCCAATGTCTAATTGTTAATGATGACTGGAATGTTCCTTTAACACAGTTATATATCTATACAAAGTATTCTACACTTTTTTGTTTTCGCATGGCATTTTTGAGTCTGGCAGTGTTGCTGAAGACAGGAATTAACTTCAGCAAAGGCATCACATCGTATTGGTATTTTTTGTTGGGATGATTGCAAATGTGTAATTTCTTTAACAGGTAACAAATGTGTAATTTTTTTTAACAGGTAACACATATAATTTTTTAGAATGTGCAGTTATACATTAAACATTGCAGAACATTTTGTTGTGTTAATTTCACTAATGAATAGCAAAATTCACGGATCATAACCGATGCACATGATGGAAAAACCTTGCAAACAGTTACTTGCATACACAAAGTGATGGCAGCTTCTCATGATTATGTGAACACTTTGCTAACTTTTTTGAACTCCTCTGCTTGAGTAAAGAAATATTGATGTAAAGGTTACAAAATAAACTAATAGTAATAAAAAATAAAATTAACCACCAGATTCCATTTAACACAGAAGCTGATTGAAGTAGCTGTAAAAACGTTTGGACAAATAGACTGTCTGGTCAACAATGCTGGATGGCGTAAGTAATAAATGAATGTATAACTCAACAGCCGAATGTTTTTTACTAAATTAAAGAGCAGCTTCATACAAAAACGATTTTATTCTTCAATGGCTAATGGAAATGTGATCTTCTTCTGTTTTTCAGGCACTCCAATGGTGAGATATGCGTTGTGAAATTCTATGTTTAAGACCAATGGTCTCCAAACTGTGGCCCGTGGGCTGCATGGGGCCCTTTGCTTGATTTTATCCTGCCCCTGGGACAGTATATCCCCCACTAATATGAGAAACTATTCCTCCCACTGATACTAAGAATGAGACCCCATATTTTGTGATGACATCAGCAGTAAGGCATTATTCCTCCAACTGACATGAACAAATTGGCATTCTGCAATTAACGTTACGATGAGGCAATATTATGCCCACTGATACTAACAATGGGGCAATTTTCCTCCCATCAATGCCAACAATGGGGCACTATTCCTCCCATTGACACCAAGGATGTAACAGCATTCCTCCCACTGACACTAATAATGAGGCACCATTCCTCCCACTGCCAATGGAGCACTCCACTGATACCAACAAAGGGGCACTATTCCTCCCACTGATACCAGTGATTATTGTTATGTAATTATTGTTTAACCCAGCTGACAACCAAGCTTGACACACTGTTTAATCCCACTGATGCTGGGGCATTTTCTATTCCCACTGGCCACAGTCTGGCCCCCTAAAGACTAAAGGACAGTACAGTTATGCTCAAAGGTTTACATACCCTGGCAGAAATCGTGAAACGAAAAAGGTCGGTGATGCATGTCAAGGTGTTGTCGGGCATATTGTAACCTGGCTTTTTTGTGGTATTGGCGCAGTAAAGGCTTTTTTCTTGACCATGCAGCTCATTTTTGTTCAAATATCATTTTATTGCTGCCACACACTAATTTCCAGAGCAGCCTGCATTTCTCCTGAGTTTACATGTGGGTTTTCCTTTGTATCCCGAACAATTATTCTGGCAGTTGTGGCTGCAATCTTCCTTGGTCTACCTGACCTTGGCTTGATATCAAGAGATTCCCCAATTTTCCACTTCCTAATAAGTGTTTGAACAGTACTGACTTGCATACTCAAGGATATCTTGGATATTTGGATAGGCGGATATTTTGATATCTTTTTATATCCTTTTCCATCTTTAGAAAGTTCCATTACCTTGGTATGCAGGTCTTTTGACAGTTCTTTTCTGCTCCCCATGGCTCAGTATCTAGCCTGCTGTGTGCAACCACGTGAGAGATAACAAAATCATTGATACAAAGACACTAAATGCAATTTAAAAAGTCACAGATGTGGGACATTAACCTGTAATTGCTGTTTTAACCTGTGTGTGTCACCCTGTGTGTCTGTACCAAAGCCAATCATTCCAGGGTATGTAAACTTATGATCAGGGCCAACTGGGTGATTTCTGTTATTATTAGGACTGAAAAGGAGCCAAACAACTATGTGATAATAAATGACTTCTAATGATCACTATCCTTTAATAAAAGTCAGTTTTATGTCATGATCAGTCATATTTTTAAAATCAATGCCAAAATGTCATGATTTCTGCCAGGATATGCAAACGTTTGAGCACAACTGTAAATTGGCCCTATGTTTAGAAAGTTTGGAGACCACTGTTCTAGATTGAAGCATGATCATTACAAAGCCAGGTGATGGTGTCATGCATAACCAATGGATTTTTCACAAATATTATTTAAGTATGCTGCTGCAAAGGAGTGACACCTATTTATGATTTTGTGGGACAAACAAATTTCGACAGAGAAATCTTGCTTTTGAACTGTCTGAGAAATACAATAGTAATGGCTTATGCACATTTGGCTCATACAGTAAAGTCTGGTGCCCAGGAGGCACAAGTGCAGCGTAAAACTCGCCGCCAGCAGCCTGTTAAAATCAATGTGCTGAGTGGTACTTGCTTTGAAGGCTGTTTGTATGAGCCAAACTGCCAATGTGCATGAGCCCTAAAAAGGTTTTTCCCCCATTCCTAAATTTGCTCTGTTACTGCATATTATCTAATGCTAAGGATACATTCACATGGGTGTTTAGCCATGGTGCAAATTCCTGCTCCTAGGTTTGACAGCTGTGTGTGGATAGCAGCAACCATGAGCCCATACACTGTAATGACAGGCGGCCACAGCCATTTTTACCTATTTGCACAGCCAGCCTCCAGCGATTGTGGATGGATGCGCACAACTGTCAAACCCAACAGCAGGAATTAGTAGATTCCTGCCACTGGGATTTGCACCATGGCTAAATGTAACCCGAGTGCTTTCAGGTTTCCCTCCAAAATGTAATGTTAGCTTAAAGTACATGCAAACCTACTAAAATCTACAAGTTTCAACTTACAAAACTGATTTAAAATGATATTTGCAGCTTTCTTTAACTAATACATGATGATCCAGCCTTGAAGATTCTTGTGCACTGCAGTTATAGGGTGATAACGCTCTTGTGTGTTTTTTTCCCAATTGTTCTTCTGTTTATTACGCTGCCACGTCCTCTCCCAATGGAGACAATCGGCCATACTGGCATACGATGAATAGACATGGCCCACTGCTGAAGAAACCCACCCTGAGAACAGATGTGCAGCAGTTGCTGGAATGTATGTAGACAGGAAGGGCCTGCAGGAGTTCAGCCATTCTGATATGCAACAAAACATAGTATTTTAATGGGCACCTGAGTGAACAAACATTTTTTTTTTTCTATTTCATATAACTCAGTATCAGCCTTTGCTGTGGAGGAATTTCAGCATACTCTGCAGAGTGCTCTCATTCAGAAACAATAGTGGGTTTTAAGTCATGGAATGCTTGTTTCAGGGACTTGGGAATAGGTCTGGACTTTAATTGACAAATCTACAAAAGTGATATGCTACCTATTACTCCTTTTGATAAGATTTTTTATTTTTTTTTGTTTTAGATTACTGTTTTGCTGTGTACTTTAACTGTGCTTTAGTTTTGATAAACAGGTGATCAGGCAGTCTTCTTAACTGTTTTATGACTAATGCAGGTCATAGATGGGTCGAACATCGGCTGATTTTTCGAACAATAAATGAAAAAATCGGTCGTTTGTTCGGCCGACGTTACCACCAACGATTAAAAAAATTGTCCGACTAAATCATAAAGTTGACCTCATAACTTCTGTCCCTTGCAGGTCCCAGCTTATGCACAGATTTTTTTATCGTTAAAACGATCGTCCGATTTGGCCATCATTGCTTAGAAAATCGGCCGATCGTCCAAATTGGCCGCAAATTTCCCAACATAACCGATAATCTGAAAGTGCAAAATACACGAAAAACGGCCAACGAACTAATCCATTAACGGTAAGAAAATCGGCCGATTGTTTTCTTTTGGCCGAAAAATCGGACAATTAACGACCCATCTATGGCCTGCATTAGAGTAAGGCCAGAAATACATGGACCAAATTTCAGACAGTTCAGCAGGGATAATGGTTGTACAGAAGACAGTTTACCAATTGACTTCTGTGCAACCAGCAACTTGGATAAATCCTTCTTGACCGGCAATGCTGATCAGTGTATTCTGTCGGCGGGGAAGTCTCCCCACTGTCAGAAAACAATAGCTGAGCGGGAGTGATTCCCCCATCCACCTCGAATGTGTAGACAGGGGGAGTGGTTGTGTTTTTTTTTGGTTTTTTTTTTTTAACTCGCTGGTTGAATAAAAAAAACATAATCATCTATGGGCTGCACAAAGCACATGGCTTCTTTGATTATGGCAAGTCATCAAAGATCTAAGGTAATAAACCACCTTGTTTTACTGCTGGTTATGATGATCTTAGTTGGAATGCTAAGTTTGTTTACGCCAGAGATTGGGAGTCCCATGCCATGTAATTCACAATCTGTCCATAGAATATTATTTCCAATTTTGGGGATTATCTAAGTGTTTTCTGACAAGTAAGAGACAACCATTTCTGGTCTACTTAACAGTGATCTTTAGGGGTTGATTTACACAGTTACATAGATGGTCTGGTTGAAAAAAGACACAAGTCCATCCAGGTAAACCAATAACAAAAAATTTACTGAAGGCTAGTAGGCTGTTCACATTGCAAAGAAATTGAGCTGTAGCTTAGTGAACGAGGTGAATCTCTGCCAAATTCCATCATTCAATTACGTGCAAGCAAAAACACAGGTTTATTTTATTTCCCATGTAGGTGATTGGGTATTCTTTGCTCAGTTAATTTTCGTCACATTTACTACATTAAGGGAAAGTTCCCTTACAAAGTGAACAGCCCTTTTCCTTTAGTAAATCAACACCTTAAGGTCTTCCTAAATTGTGAGGTCATGAATGTTAAAGCTAAATTCCATGTTTTTGTCCCATTAAATAGTTTGGGCCAAGCTGGCCCAAACAAACTATTTACTGCACTAACAGGTGCACTTGTTGGGTGCACTGTAGTAACTGTATGTAGTCTCAGCAACATACACTATATACAGCACGGTTTTCTGGCAGTGGGATGGGGACTTCCTATCTCGCTCCCAAAACAAAATATAGTCAGGCTAAGCGCTGCTGGCAGCTTTGAATTCTATGAATGAATGCTTCCTCTGATTGGCTGAGATGGAGAATGTGACGTCATCCTCCTGCCTCTCTGCCTCAGCCAATCAGAAGAAACTTAGTATAAAATAGTATAATCAAAATGTTGTTATTGCAAGCTAAAATATACTACAAAAAAAATCAAAATATTATTAATGCAAGCTAATACATACTACAGTAAACTCTCATATAGCATATACTGTAGTATTGACATTTTGCTTCAGTTTCCCCATCCAACACCTTATTCACTATCTGTTCATTTACAGGACAATTGTTGACACTAGTAAGATCACATCGATGTAGTGGGGTTTTTTGTACTAAACAGGGCAGTAGTATGGAGCACTCTCTCTACACGTTTCATGGAAATAACATCTGATTCAGTGTGTTTTTCAGTGAAGGCCTAAAACCCAAACTGTTAGATATAGCTTTGTCCCCCTGTGATAATAGTCATTAGAAATTGCACTGTATCAGGTCCACTTACAGTTTACCGCCAAGCCTATTTGTTGTTCCACGATTTGACACCTAAATGTGGAAAATTACAATAATCTGAGCACAGAATCCCCCTATTATAATAATAGCTCTAGGAACTTTCCACCTGCCTTAGCATCTGGTTAGACTTGAAAACACCACCATAGGTAATCAAGAAGAGTAAAATCTCTCTTATGCCATACCTTTTTATAGAGCCTTGAAAAAGTATCCATACGCCTTAAAATTTTCAACATTTTGTCATGTTACAACCAAAAACGTAAATGTATTTTATTGGGTTTTTATGTGATAGACCAACACAAAGTGGCACATAATTGTGAAGTGGAAGGAAAATGATAAATAGTTTTCTAAAATGTTTTACAAATAAATATCTGAAAAGTGTGGCATGATTTTATATTCAGCCCCCTTTACTCTAATACCCCTAACTAAAATCTAGTGGAACCTATTGCCTTCAGAAGTCCCCTAATTAGTAAATAGTCCACCTATGTGTAATTTAATCTCAGTATAAATACAGCTGTTCTGTGAAGCCTCAGAGGTTTGCTGGAGAACATTAGTGAACAAACAGCATCATGCAGGCCAAGGAACACACCAGACAGGTCAGGGATAAAGTTGTGGATAAGTTTAAAGCCAGGTTAGGTTATAAAAAAGTATCCCAAGCTTTGAACATCTCACGGAGCACTGTTCAATCCATCATCCAAAAATGGAAAAAGTATGGCACAACTGCAAACCTACCAAGACATGGCCATCCACCTAATCTGACAGGCCAGGCAAGGATGAGCATTATTCAGAGATGCATGCCAAGAGGCCTAGGGTAACTCTGGAGGACCTGCAGAGATCCACAGCTCAGCTGGTAGAATCTATCCGCAGGACAACTATTAGTCGTTCACTCCACAAATCTGGCCTTTATGGAAGAGTGGCAAGAAGAAAGCCATTGTTGAAAGAAAGCCATAAGAATTCCTGTTTGCAATTTGTGAGAAGCCATGTGGAGGACACAGTAAACATGTGGAAGAAGATGCTCTGGTCAGATGAGACCAAAATTTAACTTTTTGTCCTAAAAGCAATTTTGCTATGTGTGGCGGAAAACTAACACTGCACATCACCCTGAACACACCATCCCCACTGTGAAACACGGTGGTGGCAGCATCATGTTGTGGGGATGCTTTTCTTCAGCAAGGACAGGGATGCTGGTCAGAGTTGATGGGAAGATGGATGGAACCAAATACAGGACATTCTTAGAAGAAAACCTGTTAGAGTCTGCTGCAGGACAACAACCCTAAATATACAGCCAGATCTACAATGGAATGGCTTAGATCGAAGCATATTCATGTGTTAGAAAGGGCCAGTCAAAGTCCAGACCTAATTCCAATTGAGAATCTGTGGCAAGACTTGAAAATTGCTGTTCACAAATGCTCTCCATCCAATCTGACAGAGATTGAGTCATTTTGCAAAGAAGAATGGGCAAAATTGTCACTCTCTAGATGTGAAGCTGGTAGACATCCTCAAAAGGACTTGCAGCTGTAATTGCAGCAAAAGGTGGTTCTACAAAATATTGACTCGGGGGCAAACCCATGCACGCCACACTTTTCAGATATTTATTTGTAAAAACATTTGAAAGCTATTTATCGTTTTCCTTCCACTCCACAATTATGTGCCACTTTGTGTTGGTCTATCACATAAAATCCCAATAAAATGAATTTACGTTTTTGGTTGTAACGTGACAAAATGTGGAAAATTTCAAGGGGTGTGAATACTTTTTCAAGGCATTGTAAGTGATCCAAAATGCAATGCTTGGCTACAATAATACAATTGTTGCTTGACTACATTGATACAATTGTTGAGCCTCACTGCTGTTATGCCTGTGTAATACTTTTTACGTTTGTGTTCACAAACAACATATATTCTCTGTGCTCTAGTAACACCCATATATTGATGTTGCGTTTTTGTTTTGTTCTTCCTTTCTTTCTCTTTGCTGATTACAGTTTCTTGCTCTGCTCCTCAGATGTGTTGACTTGCAAAATATCCCCGATTCACAATATTACATTGCATATGACAAACTTCAGCTTTATGTCTTTGTTCATAATTTCATTTTAGATCCTCCAGAACAGATCATTGATGACACAAGTGCACGGGAGTTTCAAGACCTTCTAAACTTGAATCTTATTGGCTACTTCTTGACTGCAAAGGTTAATATAGATTAGTTATATTATATTAATCCCTATCTGGCCACAATGATCAAGCTCCTTATAGGTGAATAGATATTAGAAAATACCATCAGTTTTCCATTTGTAACCACAGGTTAGTTGCACCTTGAGGACTCCAGTACCAGGATTTCTGTGGCTGAGAATGGTTGACTAAGCCAGTTAAAACATACCGGTAGACCACACATGGTGAAAACAGACACTTTAGTGCAGATTTTTGGACTTCCCTTTGTAATTGAGCCCCATATGTATGTGATGTAGTGCAGTGTTTAACACTGTATGTAACACCATAGTAGCCTAGGGATTGATTCTTAGTACCTCCAACATGATCCAGGCCAGTAAATGAAAAACCCATTACTCCTAATCATTTCTCACTGTCATTCTAATTACAATTCCTTGAGTCTAGTCCATGAAATGTTATGAGGAGTTCTAATAAAATGTAAAATAAGTGTAATAAAAAAACAAAGATATTTTATTACTGTTGGAGCCGGTCATGTTAATGAGTCAGGATTTAGGAGAATTTAGCCTCCTGCTCATTCCACTGTATGCATCATTCAGGCATTTTTATACTATTGCTAAGTAATGTGCTACACTATTCCCTGCATCTGACCAATACAACACTAAAAGATAACTTTTATTTCATTCATTAAAATTATGTCCCTCATACAGTGGATATAAAAAGTCTACACACCCCTGCTAAATTGTCAGATTTCTGTGATGTAAAAACACGAGACAAAGCTAAATCATTTCAGAACTTTTCCCACCTTTAATGTAACCTATAAATGTACAACTCAGTTGAAAAACAAACTGAAATCCTTTAGGTGCAGGGAAGTAAAAATAAAAAACTAAAATAATATGGTCATAAGTGTCCACACCCTTAAACTAATACTTTGTTGAAGCACCTTTTGATTTTATTACAGCACTCAGTCTTTTTGAGTGTGAGTCTATCAGCATGGCACATCTTGACTTGGCAATATTTGCCCACTCTTTCTTGCAAAAACATTCCAAATCGTCAGATTGTAAGGGCATCTCCAGTACACAGTCCTCTTCAGATCACCCCACAGATTTTCGATCGGATTCAGGTCTGGGTTCTGGCTGGGCCATTACCTCCAAATTACTACAAATTTGAAAATGAGGACACTAACTTTGCACTAAGGCTACAGTCACTCCTGATCTGAGCATCTTCAGGTATTTTTTCAAGCGCTTTTTCAGGCATTTTTGAGCAGAATTTCAAATATGTCAGGCGTTTTTTAGGCATTTTTCATTTAGGCTTTTTGCTGTGGCTATAAAGCCCAGAGTACACCTTACTAAGCGAATATTACTCTCTTTGGCTACAGGGAGGCCAAAAACTAGATTTAGCAAAACAGTGGCTCTATGGGGCACTACATATAGTGATGGTTGGATTATACAAGATTACGAAAGTTCCTTGTTGTTTGAAAACTGAATCACTGAATCTGAAAACATTTTACTGTGGTTATTGTGTTTGTATTTCTCTATTTTAGTATGCTTTGCCTCACCTAAGAAAAACGCAGGGAAATATCATCAATGTCTCAAGCCTTGTTGGAATCATTGGTCAGAAACATGCCATACCCTATGTTGCCACAAAGGTAATGTGTCAGGTTCACTCTGTATTTCCGGGTTACATGGTGTTTACTTTGGATATTAATGAGAAAATAAAACCAACCCTTATGCAGTTTGTAAAAACAGAGCACTTAGGAAATATAAGGGCTAATTCCCACAGTGTGTGGTGACAGACGTTTTACTGCATTGCAAAATGTCTGTCACCACAAGAACACGCAGGCAACAATTGTTCCCTTTGTGTCCTATTCCCACTGCAACACGGCCTATGGCTGAGCTGCAGCATGCTGCAACAAAATTCATACAGGCTGCATTTTATCACAGCGCACCATGCCAAATCACATGGCACTGCACAGCAGCGCAGCACTTCAAATAAAGTTTGTACAAAACAAAAAAAGGAGCTGTGTGATGCGCTGAATTGTGCACCACACTGCCCCAAAACAAAACCAGGAACAGGCAGCTACCGATAAAGTGCTCCGGCAGCTCTCCATGTTCCCTGTGTGAACCTGGGCTAAATGAGGCTTACTGTATTTGACTCCCATTGCCCTTTTTTTTTTAAAAAAACATTTTTTGAGAGCCAGCTACATGACACCAGTGATCTTTTTAGCTATCTGTAAGGGTGGCATTCTGACCACCACTGTAAGAGGGGCATTATTCCCACTGACCACCAATGTAAGGGACATTTTCCCACTGACTTCCAATGAATTGGTTCCTCTGCACTGTGTGCACAATTATTAGGCAAGTGAGGTTTTTTGACCAAATCATAATTTTTATGCATATTGTCCAACTCCAAGCTGTGTAAACTTGAATGCTTATTGGATCTAAGCACATCAGGTGATGTGTATTTGTGTAATGAGGGAGGGTGTGGCCTAAGGAGATCAGCACCCTATATCAAAGGCATTGATATTATTAGGCAGCTTCTTTTCTTCAGGCAAAATGGGCCAAAAAAGAGGTTCAACTGACTCTGAAAAGTAAAAATGGTAAAAAGTCTTTCAGAGGGATGCAGCACTCTTGATTGAAATTGCTAAGACATTGGGCATGGTCACAGAACCATCAAACGTTTTGTTGCAAGTCGTCAGCAGGGTCGCAAGAAACGTGTTGAGAAAAAAAGACGTAAATTAACCGCCAAAGATTTGAGACGAATCAAACTTGAAGCTACTAGGAACCCATTATCCTCCGGTGCTGTCATATTCCAGATCTGCAACCTACCCAGAATCCCCAGAAGTACAAGGTTTTCAGTGCTCAGAGACATGGCCAAGGAAAGGAAAGATGAAACCTGACCCCTGCTGAACAAGACACATAAGCTGAAACGTCACAACTGGGCCAAGAAATATCTGAAGACAGATTTTTCAAAGGTTTTATGGACTGATGAGATGAGAGTGACTCTTGATAAACCAGATGGATGGGTCTGGATCAGTAGCAGGCACAGAGCTCCACTTCGACTCAGACGTCAGCAAGATGGCAGCACAGTGGCTAAATGGTTAGCACTTCTGCCTGGCAGTACTAGGGTCATTGGTTCAAATCCCAACCACAGCATCACCTGCCTGTCGTTTGTATGTTTTCCCTGTGTCTGAGTGGGTTTCCTCCGGGTACTCCGGTTTCCTCCCACACTCCAAAGACATGCTGGTAGGTTAATTGGTTCCTGATTAAATTGGCCCAAGTATATGAATGTGAGTTAGGGACCTTAGATTGTACACCCCTTGAGGGTTAGGGACTGATGTGAATGTACAATATATATATATATATATATATATATATATATATATATATGTAAAGTGCATAAATTGACTGTGCTATATAAGTACCTGAAATACAATAAATAAGATGGAGGTGGGATTCTGGTATGGGCTGGTATTATTACAGTAATAATACCAGCCCATACCAGTACCACACCTCCACCTTGTTGGCGTTGACATGTAGCTCTTTGCCCGTTACTGATCCAGCCATGGGCCCATCCATCTGGTCTGTTAAGAGTCACTCTCATCTCATCAGTCCATAAAACCTTCGAAAAATATGTCTTCAGATATTTCTTGGCCCAGTCATGACGTTTCAACTTATGTGTCTTGTTCAGTGGTGGTCAGGTTTCAGCCTTCCTTACCTTGGTCAGGTCTCTGAGCACTGAACATCTTGTATTTCTGGGCACTCCTGGTAGGTTGCAGTTCTGGAATTTGACAGCCCTAGAGGATAATGGGTTCCTGGTAGCTTTATGTTTGATTCTTCTCAAATCTTTGGCCGTTAATTTGCGTCTTTTTTTCTCAACACGTTTCTTGCGACCATGTTGACTATTTGCACCAAAACGCTTGATGGTTCTGTGATCACGCCTCAATATCTTAGCAATTTCAAGAGTGCTGCATCCCTCTGAAAGAGGGATCATTTATAGCGCAACAAAGTGTTATCTTAAGTTATTGTTGTTAGAAGGGATATCTTCTTTTTGTGTTTTCTGCTTTATAAGTTTACCACTATTTGCTTGATTTCCACATTTTTTTTATTCTTGATGCTTATATAGCCATGTAATGTAGCACCAAATTATACATAAAAGCATGTTAAGAAAGTAAAACTGTTTACATTATTTTTATTTTACATGCACATGTACTGTATGTTTAATGTTTTTCGGGTTTTTTTGGGTAGTTTGCTCCTAGTAGAAAAAAACTGATAGAATTTTAGTGAATTTTTTTTTTTTTTCAAATATGGGAGGTGATTTGTGCTATATAGCACCAAGTGCATGAGGATTACTTGCAAATTCTATAGGAATAAGCCAGGCCAACTGCACCATCTGGGCATTTCTGTACTTTGGCATCATGAGGTCTCGGAGTCTTTTATGACAATAGGTAGTATTTTGTAGGTTTCTTTTTGACCATATAAATTAAGAGATGTCATTCTGTAAGGAATATATTTTGATAAGTATTGAGAACATTCTGGAATACTCTAGGGAGGATAATCATATTTTATGAATATACAGAAATAGAGACCACAAACAGGAATAGAACTAGTCCACAAACTAAGGCTTTTTGCTGCTGCAATGTGCTGATTAAATAAAGCCAACCGCTGCTTTATCCTGGTTGTGGGCTCTATTTCTGTATATGCTTGGATACACAGCCTGGCAAGCTTGAGAGCTGGTGAACAGGAGGCATTGTTGTTGACTGCCAATTCCCTAGTAGCTGTGGCATTTGTTAGTAAATCCTGCTCACCGCAAGATGATAAGCGTATTCCACTCCCATAAACAATAAGTATAGCTCTATAGGTACATAGATTGGTAATGTAAATTCAGTGTAGTTGAAAGCCCAGAATAATAAGTTTTGCCAAGGAGTGGGTGTACTGCAGCATAAGGCCTCAGATTTTGTCTACAGTTAAGGTGTGGTCTACATTTTCATACATTGTTGTTTTTATTTAAGGTGTACTGGAGTATAGCATTCCAGGACTATCTGTTTTCAAAGCGTAAGTTTACCTTTTCACAACAAATGAAGAGGTGAACTATCACCCTACAATCTATCCCCCAGGACACCCCCCCCCCCCCCCCCGGGCCCAGCTGCACTTACCTTCTTGGGTGATTAGCTGTCACTGCCCACACAGCTGGAGATTTGCAATTCTCGTTCTTCTTCCTCTTCTTTCTGTAGGGCTTTCAGGACGGATCAGAGCAATTACGATTGGCCGGCACAGACATATAACCGCTCAGTTATTTTCTAAATCGACACTTTCAAGTGAAAAATTGTCGACCCATCAGAGACTGTCTCTAATTAGATGCATTCGCTAGGTATTCAAACAGCCGTGAGTTCTACAGCTGTCTGAATACAATAGCCAGCAGCAGAGATCCCCTCATTCACACTGGTTAGCATAGATGGGGAAATGACTGATTTAAGTTTAAGCATGTGCGGCTATCCTTAGGCTGGCCACACATGGATCAAAATTCGGATGGTTTTGCAGGAACCGGCAAGATTTCGATCCATGTATGGTTGGTCCTGTTCACGAGAAGTCAAACTATCAATTGACTTCTCATGGATGGGACTGCTGAAAAATATCAGTTCAATCAGTGCTACAGCCATCTGATTTGTGTATTCTGATGGCGGGTAGGCAGGGGACTCTCCCACTGTCAGAATACAATGACACAGCAGGGAGGATTCCTTCATCCACACCAAATGTATGAATGGGGAAATAAAGTCAGTATTTTTCATTCAGCCAGTTGGCTGAAAGCAAAAACTAAACCATGTATGGGCAGCTTCAGAGAGGGATCTGGGTGGGTGTGGCAGAGTAGATGCTGATCCTAGTTTGGGAAGGTGAGGCATAGCAGGAGCAGGTTATTGCTCAGCGGTGGAGGGGAAGAAAAAGCAGTAGATGATTGTGTTCCACTGAGAAGATACAGACCAGTAGCTGGTCACCAACTGACGTGTGAAGTGGGAAGAACCAGATGTGGAGTTTATTGCAGTTTACTGCAGATTAGGGATAGAGGACAGAAATTAATAGCAGATTATGGCTAATAAGGGGTGAGGCTTAGCGAGAACGGGTTGAACATAACAATGTGGATACTCATGTATATTGATGAAATAACAGGTGACACTTCATATGTGCTTGAAACTTTATTGTCACTGTGGCAGCCAAGAAACAGTGTTCAGAGATGACAGGAGGTTTAGCAATATGGAGAATGGGAACATAGACACACTGGAGCACAAAAGTGGTAGCAAGCTGGCAGTGGCGGGCTGTGCATTGCACACCTAGGCCTTCAGTGGTGCCATATCTGAATTATTCAACCTCTTGATAACATCATTGTGATGCAACATCTATAGAAACCATCAATATTATACAGAAATGTGGCATCACAGACAGTGTGAATAAATGCCAATGTGGCTTCAAACACCTAGTTGATCAACTACAAAAAAAACAGGCATTCTGAGCAATACAGTTTGCAGTGCTTCTCCGAGACTGTGAGCCAAGGGTGCCACTCTTGGTTACTGAATTGAAAGTGGTGGACAAATCCTTTCCCTGGCTAGGACAAGCTTGCTAGCTTTGGGGTTGACCAATCTTTCCTCACAATGTCCAGCTTTTCATGAAAAGTCTGTCTTGAAAATGGCTTTGTAATTATATCTGCAACCAAATCAATTTCTACTCCTCTGTCAGCCATTGTGGGTTTAAAAACCAGCTATTACATCTACAAAAATATATTTTAGCTTGTGCAGTTTGCTACAGATGCGGTTTGCTGGCTCTGACTAGTACACTCTCTGACCATCCAATCGTATAAATGCAGACATTATTGTATGCCTGCTAGATATCCCCGGAGTCACTCACTCGAAATCTGACTGGTTAAAACAACAGTTTCATTGCCATTCTGAAGGCCTCAGGGCAGATTTCTTTGATCCTGGCAACACATGATGGCTGAAATATGATTGGGTAAAAGCTCCAACATAAACATACACTACTGAAGCAACACAACCAAGAGAAAAGCTATCCAAATACCATGAACCAAATAAAAATAAAAAAGAAATAAAAGAGATATGGCACCTTTCCTCCAAGATAAATTACTGCCTGTGCAGAACTAAAATACCATTCACATATTGCCAAAAGTGAAATACAAATATAGTAAAACCTTATGTACACCTGCACAATATAGGTGCACTGCAATATTTTTGTAGCTGCCCCTTTAGCTCCCTGAGGACGCTACACGGCGAAAAATGTAGAGGCTGCTTACGGTTGTTATATCTGGCCAAATCCGTACATCATTTCCGGATTCAGGTATTTGGAACGTACGCCAAGGTTCAGGAAATGGAGCAGTGGTGCACAGATGCTGAGTGTATTGATGCCGAGATAATGTGCACCATGTTTTGTAAGTGTAAAATTTGTAATACTTTTTATTGCCAAGTCTTAATTAAATACTGCACAATGAAAGATTCTGTCTTTGTGGTCTTTGGGCGACATTGATGGAGAGACATCAGGCACATAGGACAAGTGATGATTGGAGGAAAAGTGAGGAACAGCAGTTGGAGAGCCTCTGGGGCAAACAGCACTTTATGACATTTTCTTTTAAATAGAAGGGCCATGGATCTTTGGTGAGTGCATTGTGGTGACAGAGGAGGCGAAGCACTTTGGGAATATTCGGTGGCACAGAAACAATATTTCCATATTGGTGTTGGACTGTATGTAGCACTATTTATTGTTTATGTTATTTTGATTCATGGCATTTGGAGATTGAGTGCAGGGTGTCTATGGGGAGTGTAAGCGCCCTCTTATAGTTTCACTATCAATGCCTTGTGGGAACCTTTCTCCTGGAACAGATTTGTATATCAGTAAGACGAAGGAGGAAGGGACCACACACACAGAAACAAAAATGTACTCCTATTGTCCAGCCTTTTTCAACCAGGCTGCCTCCAGGCTTCTTCGGGGGTGCCTTGGCAAAATAGTTAAAAATTTCCAAAAACAAGCCAGCAGGTGGATCAAGCGTGCCTTTTAGTTACACAAAGCCACAGGTTTTCATTGTGTACCATTACAACCTACCAGCCATTTGTGTCCTAACAACCAATGATGCCATTGGCTGATAAGGAGGATGTTGGGTGCCTGCACAGCATCCTTTTTTGCCCTTCTTTGTCAGCACTGGGGTCACATTACCTGGGTGAGGGAGAGAAACTGAGGCAGAGGAGAAACTTTGGAATTCTATTCAGTACCAGTGTGCAAAGGTGTGTTTGCTTTGGAAGAATAAATCGTCTCTAATTTTGGGTTTCTTGCATGCATGGATGTTGCTGCATTACATAAAACATTTAGTTTAGTTTTTTGCATTTTAAAATGGGGCGCCTCGAGATTGCCTATAATTTTAAAGGGTGCCTTGACCGGAAAAAGGTTGAGAAACAATTCTATAGTCTGTCTCTAACAGATATCAGGAAACCTTTCTAGATGGTTATGAGTGACCATAACCATCCACAGATTTTTTCCCCAAATCCTCCCCTTATGTTGAAGATATAAAAAATAAATTCCTGATAACTTTCTCTTTTATTTGGGGAGTGTCTTTTCCTGCTTGAATTCTGGAATATGGTGAGGGATACTTCACAAATAAATTACAGGAACACAGCTGGGAAACAGTGGCCAGTTTGGACGTTAACCATCTGTTTAATAAACAATATCAATTTTCACTGACAATTTATCTGGTGAATACAGCATGGACCTGCATACTTTTTTTTGGAAACAGACCTTAGGCCTGTGGTTTGACAGTAATCCAAAAATTTTTTAATAAAATATTGTATCCTGCCTCCACACTAATGACTTGAAAATTTTCCCACACATGATTCCACTTGATTGAATTCCAAAACTTCCCAGAATACCAGTCTGTGTTGGCCAATCAAATAACCCGATTGGGGTCTGTATCCCTATCAATCACGACAACAATTGCAATACTCTTGGGTATACTTCATCTGTAATTTATTGTATTTACACACTGGTCCTGATGGGTTGTTTTTCTTTGTACCAGGGAGCAGTGACTGCAATGACCAAGGCAATGGCGATAGATGAAAGCCAGTACAGTGTGAGAGTGAACGGGTAAGCTATTAAATTTAAGCTATGAAATGACTCTGCAATCATATTTGTATCTTTTAAAGCTTTACAATATCATTTAACTGATGCATTAGTTGATACAGCCATAAACAGGTGTTACATGGCTACAGAAATTGAAGTGATCCTGTTATAGTCACCAGCCAGCTAATGTTAAATTGGTTACACATCATTGGTGACTATGCAAATTTTAACAGCACAATGATAAAAGTCTATATGCTTAAAGGAATAAGTTCACCTTTTAGACAAAAATAATAAATGCACATTTTTTTGCAGGTAAAAAAATGTGCATTTATTATTTTTGTATACAGGAGCTTGGAAAGCATTGCACCAGCGATCAGATTGCTGATGCCATGCAGGTCTCCTGCAGACCTGTCAGTATATCTGCTGCTTGCTTGCCGTATGGGATGTATGAGCAAGCAGATATACTGACAGGAAGCTTCAATGAACTACCATGGCGCTCCACAGCAAGATTGCCTATAATTTTAAAGGGTGCCTTGACTGGAAAAAGGTTGAGAAACAATGCTATAGTCTGTCTCTAACAGATATCAGGAAGCCTTTCTAGATCTTCCCAAAGGTGTAACATGTTCCCAAAGGTGAACCTATCCTTTAATGAGATTATGCTCACAGCAAGAGATTATTTGCTTAAGTTTGCTTTTACAGACTTGTCAATCGCCTAAACTAGGGTGTGATCGAGCAACCTGTGTTCAGATACAAATGTACTTATGGCCATCTCAGATTCCAGATTTAGGAAATGTAATAAACTGTAACTTAGACTTCAGCACTTATTATGGGTTCAAAGGTAATTGATCAAAGTCCCATATTTTCTCCATGGACCCAGAGCTACCCTTACTCTCCCTCCAGACTGTCCTCTGCAAACCATTGATCAATTTAAATATCTTGGTAATGACATATAAACCCCCCCCCCCCATGGCTAAATATATTGGAAATAATATCCTTCCCTCTAATGAGACTATCAGAACTAAAGGTATGCTATGGGCAAAGCTCCCACTTACCTTAATGGGAACAGTGAATCTGTTTAAAATGATTTCCTACCCAAGTTGTTATGCATTCTATATAACTCCCCACAATACTGTACATATACCAATAAACTGATCATAGATATAGAATCTATGCTTTCTGCATTTCTCTGGTATCCCGAAGTCGCCAGACTCTCCCTGATGACACTACAACTCCCATGATCCCAAAGGGGCTTAGCTTTGCCTAATGTTTGCAAATATTATAATGCACCCCAGTTGGTATATCTGCATTAGTGGCTATTCTCGCAGTTAAATGCCATTGTATCATCTTATAGGACACTGTCCAATCTTATATATAGATGCACTCTCCCTACAAATGCAGGAACTGGTATATTAAATGTTTCTCTAAAAATATATCGTCAATGCATGTCTTTATCTCCTGACTCTATACGATACATATCTAAAAAAAAAACCTATTTGGTTTAACCCAGTACTCTCACATGATCCATAATGGGTGCAAAAAGGTCTGAAGTATATCAATTATATGTGCAAGGTACCTTTAAAACATTTAGTACACTAAAGAGTTGGGTATCTCCGATACCTTCATATCAGATATGTTGCAGACTCCCAACTGAGGTTAATAATTCTAAGTCAGAACATGTTCTGCTTTGACCAATTCACTGCCATGTGACCTCTAGCTATTATAACACACTCTTAGAGACTCCCTCCTCAATTCCAAGATCCGTACAAAATCACACAGAGACATCCCGGATATTTCAGGAAACAGCTGTGGTAGGAGCTCTCTAAATCATATTATGATATTTTGATCCTGCTATCTCTGCTAGGGATAAACATATATTTTCAGTGAATTTATTCTACACCATTCCATCTGTTCCAAATGCATAAAATGGATACACCCCTTTGCCTTAAGTGTCAAAAGGATCAGGGTGGCCTTCTCCATATGATCTGGACCTGTGACAAAGTTAGACCTTTTTGGCCCTAGATTACTGATTTTATTTCCTCTCATTTTGACATTTCCAATATATGCAATCCGAAATGGTGTCTCTTGGGCATATTGGAGATTGAGATATTCATGCCTTTAAAAAAACATTCTTGCACCTACTTTTGTTCTATGCAAGCAAAAAACTGTGGCCCTCCAATGGATGTATACTGCCCCCCCCTTCAGACTCAATTTGTGGATAAAAACTGATTAACCAAATCCACTCTTTATATAAGCTAACATACGAAGCAAGAGGATGTCTATTAAAATTCAACATAATTTGGGAGGAATGGTTGACTACTACTGACACCTACTCCATAGTCATAACTCCTGAGTCCAGACACTTATTTAGACCTTTATATAGTAGAAGACAGATGTAATAAGGACACACGACACCTTGTTTAATATTTTGTAATACTTTTTATTCTTCCTTTACAAAGACATTACACAGTGAATGGTTTAGATCTGTTCATAAATGTACTAATTTGGTTTTCAGTTATCGTTGATAAGATCCATAGTTTAAATTTCTTTATTAGAATGATATATTGTGATCAGTACTTTGTACTGTACTGAATTGAACTGTTATCCATGAACAGTATGGTTTATACTGTTGTTTACAATTCTCCTCAAAAAAAAAAAAATCAGTATAAAAATATAATAGTAAAAACTGTAGCTTTGCAGTGCATAGTTATAAATAATTACCGCAAAAGAGTGCAAATAGGTTGGGTAAACCTTGGATTATGGGAGAGGTGTTAATGATTGGAGTCCCTTGGCGCTGATATAGATTTTTCTAGTCATTTTTTGAATTCGAAGCATTCATAACTGAGTGTTGATTTGTAACTCATTACCCTACACTGTTATGAAGGATTAAGCTTGGGGTAAATCACAACTAGCCTGTGTAAATTAGTTGAGGGTGCAACATCTGACTTCTCTGGGTCGATGTCTGAAATTCCACCATTGTTCATATTTTGGGGTCCAGTTGTTGATTGAAGTTTCACCAAGTCAAATCCTTCAGCCCCTGGAACAGATTAAATCATTTGGTAATTACTTTTTACACCTTTAATTTTTAAATACTGCTTTTGCTTCTATGTCTATTCTTTTTTATTATAAGCTAAATTTTAAATGCCCAGGATTGCACTTTAAAGTGGAACTCTGGTTTAAAAAATACATAGCAAAAAAAAAGTAAAAAAGCAGCTTTGGCTGCAGTGCGCACCTTCCATCCAGAGTTATCAACTTCAGTAATAACATTCCATCACCAAATGTCACTAGTGCCTTGCTGAATCACCACCAGCATCATTCAACCCAATTGCTTGGAGCCAAGGCTGCCTCGTACCCACCCACTGTGATTGTGTTGTCATGCTGGCCTGGGCTCAGAGTACCAAATGGTGATCACGTTTCCAAGTAGACACAACAACTAGCCAGAAGACCCTTGAAAAAAATGTGTCTGTTTTTTTTTTTGTAAGGGGCTGGAGGCTTGTAAGAAACTGGAGTCCCACTTTAATATATGTAAGGCTCCAACTATTATAATTATGTTTTACAGAGCCACACTTTTCCAGATGAGATGTTGGTAGCCAACATGTTTCTCCTCCCCAAGCCTAATAAGGATCACTCTCTCCCCCAAAATTCCCACCCTATCTTGGTGATAAATAATGACCTGAAACTGTTTAGTTGCATCCTGACTGACAGATTAGGTTCCATTATCCCTACCTTTATTTTGCCTTTTCAGTCAGGCTTCATCCCCAATAGACAGATCACAGATAACATTATTTTGGCCGACAATGTTATTCAAGATGCCAATCTTTTCTCTAGGAAGTTGTTGCTATTGAGGCTAGATATTAACAGGGCATTTTATAGTATCATGTTGCATTACCTTTCATTGCTCTTGCAGCGATATGGTTGGAGTTTTTCGATGGCTTTAAAGCCTTATATGCTCCTCCTAAAACATGCATCTGCCTAAGAGGTTGCAATTCAGAGTTATTATTATTATATTATATAGGATTTATATAGTGCCAACAGTTTGCTCAGCGCTTTACAATATAACAGGAGAAAATACAGCAACAATACAGTTCAATACAAGAGGGTTAGGAGGGCCCTGCTCCTTGGAGCTTACAATCTAAGAAATCTTCTCACTTGAATGGGGCACTAGACAAGGATTCCCTCTTCAACTCCTGCTCAACGCACTGGCAATTGAGCCTTTAGCTACAACCATTATTCTTCACCCCAATATTAGAAGTTATCTGAAAGGCAACAAAAGTTTCATGCTATGCATGTACCCAAATGACACTCTGCTTTTTATTACTCAGCTTATTATATCTTTACCTAGCCTTATGGATGTCCTATCCAAGTGTGCAGCTTTAACAGGCCTCTCAGGTACCTTAACAAATCTGTGGTTTCAACACTCAGTATGCCCCCCTCCAAAAGAGAAGCACTCAGCGATAGTTTTACATTTATTTGGTCCTTCTCCACTATCTCCTACCTGGGAATTAACATATCCTCTTTCACAAGCTTTTTCAACGTATTTATCCATCTACTATCACCAAGATTAGGCAAATGCTTAAATTATGTTCAACTTTTCATATCTCTTTTCTTCGGGGGGTGGTTGCCATCAAGATGACCATCTTCCCAAACATTTATATTTGTTTAGGGTCCTACTGATTAGTTTTTCTAAGTCAGACTCATGTTAGATTAATTCAGATTTAAACAAATTTTTTTGGCATAACAACAACTCAGATATTCAAGGACTATTTAATGTCATTCCCATGGATTTGGCTATATTACTTGGCCTCTCAACTAACACAACAAACCCAATGGAACATTCTGGGTTCAAGAGTTCCGCGGCTAAAACTTGAAAGTAATTCTATCTCTCCTTATTATCTACCTTGTCTACTAAGGTTTAACGGAACCTTTGTACAAGAATTACTGAAATGTAATATATTTGTGGGCCAATCGCCTAAACTCTGACATTGCTATAAATATAAATATCATCTGGTCTCTAAAGTAACTCCACA